CCACTTCCAAACTTCAGACACTCTAAATCCAAGAGCTTACAAATCATGTAAAGGAAAGCCCCAGACTTTATCCTTTCACCATTTTAACAGGAGGCAAGAGTGTTTCACAAAAACATTCAAACTCACTTATCTGACAAAAGAAGAAAAAGGAATTAAAGGAAATTTGTTATATGTCCAGTTTTCAAAGACTTCTTGCTTTGAGCTGCTTCAAGTTGAGTGACAGAAAAGATTTTTTTTTTTTTTTTTTTTTTTTTGACAAACACAGGGCTCATACTATGAGCCAGGCACTGTTCTAGGGAGTTCCAAATAGAAACCCATTTAATACCCATAACAACCTTGTGAGATAGGCATTATTATTATCACCATCTCATAGATGAGGAAACCGAAGCATGAAGGTTTTGATTTTCATGAATCACACAACTAAGCAGATTCGAGAGTTTTCTGCCTTCCTCAAGGGCATTGTTAATTTTGCTTTAATATTAGACGTCGTTGGGAGCAATAATATTATAACTCACCAAAAATAGCTGTGCACATTTCAGGCACTGTGCAAGAGATAGCAGTACCAGCTGGGCCCTAGAGAACCATTTGGCATTCCTCAAATAGAATTCTGTGGGCTGTTCTCCCTTGAAGCCCTTTGTGTCTCAGTTGCAAGTAGCTGAATATGGCAACCTTGGTGGCCAATGGAAAGGTCATATTCACACCTTTCAGAGAAGGAGACCAGAGAGCCTGGCCAATGGTGTGATGGAGAATCTTGGAGTCCTTCCAACTCTATGGGCTCCCAGTAAGAATTTTTGAAAATCCATCCCAGATGGAAAGTCACACTCCTCTGGGAGGGATATCAATTATAGAATCTATTTTAGGCTGATGCAAAGAATGCAAACAGAGCAAAAGCACATGCACGTGTTGAAGCATCAGTGACAGACAAATCAATGAGTGTGATGCTAAGACACTAAAACATAGGATATCTACTTCTTGGTTCTAGTGCCAGGACCATGGGCTCTACTCTAAAAACCAAGCTGCCATCTTGAAAATGTTACTGATCGTCACAAGTGAGATCGTGATGCAAATCTGTCTTGAGATACCTTGGTTGAAAAGAAAAAAAAAATCCCTTCCAATTACACATGTATACATATACACACACAAACAAAGGAAAAATGGGAGGGTTGTATTCACCAAGGTACAGAGCATATAATGGAATGAAAGGATAGAGAATGCAATGAATGTCCACACAATCCTGAAAACAGCAATAGAAAGGAAAATTGAGGCTTCACTCTCAGTTTCTCTCAAATGAATTGGTTTCTGATCTCTGCTTCTCTCTGTATGTGGTCATTATTCTGTATTCTCTTTCTATCCCTCTATCTCTATTTCCTAAACCAATTATTTCTGGATTCTTGGCACAAGAACCAAACACGATATCCCCATTGCTGACTTGACTTTTCTCTTTAAATGCTCAACAGACACTCAGTAACATCTCAGAAGGCCCGATTCTTATCCCAGGAGAGAGAAGCTGATTGGCTGAGTTTGAGTAACGACTTCTAATATAATCGTTTGAGGTCGAGGAGGAGGCTGACATGCTCACTTAGCAGGGACTGTAGGAACTGACACTACAGAGTCTGTGGACGGGTTCTCAAAGAAAGAAGAGAGGAACTGGGGAGGAAGTGATTGATAGAGGAAATTATAAGAATCTCTAATACAAAATCTGTAACTTGGACTAGAAGGGCAATGGTATTTGCATCTCAGATACGGGCTCAGTGAAAGTGCCTGGAAGGAATAATTTTGTTTGTTACTCCAAGTGAAACCTTTTGTGTATTGTCATTGTACAAAAGAAGCTAACCTGAGTCTCCCTGGGAAGTTTTCCTGTGATTAAATATAGCCAAGATATTCCTGTACAAGAGCTGCAATACCCTTGCAATTTGGTGCAACACCCTTGCAATTTGGTGAACATGATAGAAACATACCCTATCCAAGAACCCCTAATTTTCTTTATTTTAGCATCTAAAAATGGATCCAACTCTGAGATCAGGATTTGTGCTTTAAATAGTCCTTTATAAGAAAGGGGGAGAGGTTTGGAAGAAAACCAACTGTTCATCAGCTGATTTTCTTCATGGGTGGAGCTAAGGAGAGCTCTTGGGGAGACCATTCTGCTGAATAGAAAAAGGTTGGGCCAGCCCATTAACAAGTGGGGAGAGTGACCCAAAGCATTCAAGCCTGAGAGATTTGTTGTGATAGTCTCCTCTTCTCTAATTTCAATCTAGGCCACATGGATTCTGATTTCTCTTTGATCTTTTAAGAGGTACAATTTTTAAATCAAATACAGGAGGTGGCATGGTATAAAATGGAAATTTTAGCATGTTTTATACTCCCACACACTTGAGGAATACCACACGTTCCTGTTACAAGTTCTCAGTACCTTTTTCACAACTCTAAATCTAAAGAACAGTTACCATCTAAATTTTTTCATAATTATTTGGTAACAAATTACGAACTGTAACTAACTGGGGCCTTTATTTCTTCCACTTTGTGTGAGTGTTCAGTGTGTAGCCAGGAGATCTATGCCCTAGAGAAACCACTGATTTATAGAAGTGGGTCAGAGAGAGGACCTAAACTCTAGTCCCAGATATACCACCACAAGCTGGGTAGCTCTGCAAAAGTCCTTCACCTTTTCTAAATGAGCCTCGTGTTTTTCTTTCAAATAAAATTTTGAGATCAGAAAGGGCCTGTTTTCTTACAGAAGTTGCTGTGGGACTTCAAGAGGCATATACACATTTCAGGAGCACAAAGTGTACCTATGCACATGTCTGATGTCTATTCTAACTTGTCTAATTCTAGACAAATTGTTACTATCATTTTCTTTATTAATAACTGCCCTTTGTAGAACATCTACTGCACTCAAGTACTGCTGTACGGTCTTTTATTAATCCCCTATACAGCTTTAGGACATTGGTATTTCTCTATTTTACAAAAGAGAATGAAATTTAGGG